AATATCCCTATATTCTCTAATTTATTTTCCTTTCTAAATCGTGTACTTTAATTCTAATTCTAAATTTTTAATTCACTTGTAACTCTATTCCTTATAACTAGTTTATGACTCTATTTTGATAACTCTAAATTTTTAATTTGTTTTTAAAATAATATTCTGATTCTCTTAATTAAATTTTAAGAAGTATCATTGTATAAGTCTTAAAACTATATAATACAACTAAATTTGATATTCTACTATTTTTGGATATTTAGTTAAGAAGTTTTAAATTTTAATTATGAATGCTTCTAATCATTCATAATGACATTTATGTTAAATTTTAATTGCTTTTAACAAGGTTTGGAAGATGGAACTGAATCATTTGTTGCATTAAGGAAAAAAAAAAAATTAGTTTTAACATTTAAGAGTTACTTATACTGTATTTAAAATTTAAAATTATCTTTTATTATTATTGATGCCTCTAGTGATGTAGTCAAGAAAAATTTCCAAATCTTTTCAATTTTTACAATTGCAAATGAGTATAATAACTTGTTTATAATTTGTGCATTTTATTATGTTTCTAGTAATTTAGATGTTAATGTATTTTATAGCTAAATTTTTTTATTTAATGTTAAAATTTTTATATTATCTCATATATTTAATAGTGTTAAAAATCGATCAATTTAACTAAACCACACCAATCTGATTTAAGTTGGATTGGTTTAGTTATCATATAATAGTGGATTTGATTGATTTAAAAATTTTATTTACCGATTAAATTGGATTGGTTTAACAAATATTAAAATCCGAATCAAACCACACCGCAAACACCCTTAAGATGGAGAAGGTGAGCCGTTGACGAAAGTGGAGCAGGTAAGTGATATGTCGATTTCTACCTCTATTTCTGTTAAGTGGGAAAATTCCATATCAAGTATAAAAATAAGAAACTTGTGGGTTAAATACAAGGAAAGCCACTCCACCTATTGCCAATTGATTTTAGGTTGAATGCAAGTCTTGTGTTGAATCCACATGCACGATTTTCACATAGTATCAGAGTTTAGATTATGTCCTGGAAAGCCCGTTGTTAACCCACCTGCTAGGACCTGAAGCTGAAGGTATTGGGTCTGCATTTAAAGGGGCATGTTAATCCACGTAACA